TCTAGTGCAGCAGTGCTCTACAGAAATCTTTTCAAAGAGACATCTTCATCTTTTTCTCTAAGGGTGTACTGAAATATACATACAGTAGCCTATACTGTACTGGCTTTAAAGTACTTCTAGGGAGAGGTTACATTTTGACCTTTTGATTTATCATAGTAAAATACTTATTTGGTCAGAAATTACATTCTATGGGCTGTGTTGTACTGTTTCAAAATCCAGTTTTAGCCCTTTTCCTGGACCAAAAGGCTCCTTGTGCTCTACCTTTATTGAAAAGAATGATGGACTCCTTACAAAGATAACTGTTTGAGTGTTAACTTTCATTTTGTCAGAAATATTTAGTAAATTTTAATGAATTAAATAAGTTACAAATTTTTTTTTTGTCTAGTATTGCTGTTGCCAATTATGAAATACATGTATGCCACATTCACAAGTAATTAAAAAAGTAATTAATAAGTCTGCTAACAGACCTTTTGCAATAATTGTTCTTATCATTCTTATAATGTGGCCTCATGTTTCAATTTTCTAAATATTTATTCCTTAAAATTTAAAGTAATTGTTAATGGAACCCTTAAGTAACAGGAATCATTAGGAGGAATCCGAACCGGATTCTGAATTGTTAAATTCTTTGATTCCCATCCTTGCTCGTCTCGTACTGTGGGAAGTGTGTGGATTAAGGAGAACTTTGTCTGCATCTGAATTCAGATACTTCAATACTATATAGTAGGGGAAAAAGAGTATGTGAAAAAACATTTATGTCCGAATCCACACTCACACAAGTGTAGGCAAGAAGTACCCGGATGGCCTACTACTTCTGGTGAGATTCTGAAGTGTGCATACGATGGACACTTTACTATCCCATGGGGCCACGGTAGAGGATTTATGAATATCTGTGACGTGGTGCAACTCACGCTGGTAAGTCACATGACAATGACTACATTGTCTACATTGACTACATTGTAGTAGGCTACATCCAGATTACATTCATACTACACACATGCTCTTTTTGCAGTCGCGAAGTAATTACATACTCAAAATAAGTGCCTACCCACCCTTACGAAAAATAAGTTTATTCAAGTGTGCTATTACTATACTTCTTTTAAACTAAAAATAGGAAAGTATACTTTCAGTCAAATTTTTGAGAAGAAAAGAGAAGAAAAAACCGAAACAACAGATGCTTCCACATGTATTCTAACACGATCATCAGACATAAAACAGCATCAAAACTGTGTAACGTTATGGAATAAAATGTCGACCAATGAAGCAGTAATAATGACTGTCAAGCTTTGGGGTGTTGATCGACTCCATCTAAGTTTTGATTATCATTCTGAATCCAATTAATAGTCAATGTTCAGCTTTTTGTTCAAAATCTTGTTTATTTCTTTATTTTTTTATTTATAAAACTTACCCACATTCAAGTGTTTAAAAAAAGAATGCATGAAGCTAGAATAAAATGTTTTTGTTTACAAGCAGATACCCCATTCTTTCTTTTGATGTTTTGTATGTTCAGATATTTATTACAAAATATATACAAATGAATACCTAAATAGGGACTTAAAGAAACTTAAAGAAAACTTACGAGTATACTTGCAGTATAAAACTAGTAAACTAGTAGTTTACTGAGACTATACTTCAAAGTGTACTAAAAATGCTACAAGTATTTAATTAGTAAACTATCAGTATACCTATTAGTTCACTTTTAGTATAGTTGCAGTACAATCTAAAAGCATAGATGTAAACTAGCTGTGTGCTCAAAGTTTACTACTGTTATACTTAAAAGTATAATTTTATATACTAGAAAGTGGGCCAATTTAGTCCCAAGGAGTATTGAAATAGTACACTTACAAGTATACTACTAGTACACTGATATTTGTATACTTACTACATAAAGTATACTTAAAAATATACTTGAACTTTACTTAAAGGGGTCATATGATGCAATTTCAAGTTTTCCTTTCTCTTTGGAGTGTTACAAGCTCTTGGTGCATAAAGAAGATCTGTAAAGTTGCAAAGACTAAAGTCTCAAATCCAAAGAGATATTCTTTATAAAAGTTGAGAGTTAACCACACCTACCTAAAACGGCTCGTTCTAACATGCCCCCACATGTCTACATCACGATGTGGGAAGATTTGCATAATGCCGCCCAAATGTTCACGCAAAGAAGGCGTAACTTTTATGCTTGCTGTATTATTGTTGTTGCCGCCATTTCGTGAAGGCGCTGTGTGATTCGTTGTGAAAGCGAAACTACTTTGTTTGGTCTTCCAAAAGAGGACGATATCGCTTCGTCATGCCTGGAGCTGATCCGTGCCGGTCGCTGAGGAAATACAACAACTTTGCGCTCTCGATCGCCGGATCGGCATTCACCGTTTGCCGCAGGCATCACAGAATGGTAAGATACGTAACATTTCCGTCACATGCTTGAGGTATTCGGCCAATCACAACACACTGGATAGCTGGCCAATCAGAGCACACCTCGCTTTTTCAGAATGATGAGCTTTGTAAAAATCTACGCGTTTCAGAAAGGCGGAGCATAGAGGAGAAACAATAATGTACAGTATGTGGAAAATAATGTTTTTTTAACCTTAAACCGCATAAACATATTTAATTACACCAAATACACAAAATAATGTTCTTTTTAGCAGCATCATATGACCCCTTTAAGTATACTTAATAAAATAAACTTAGTAGTATACTACTTTTTGGTAAGGGCAAGAGAGTATGTGATTTTAGACACTGCCTTAGTTTGTTTTGGTTGACTTTTACATTTTTGTACAGCACAATATTCAACTACTGTTGTTTTTATATGTGCTATGTAAATACAATTTGAAATGATTTTTGATTTGTTTAATGTCTGAACTAAACCATATTCAGTTGGAAAATAAATTAACTCAATAACTCTTTAACTGATTACAAATGTGTCCTGTGTTAGATCACATTTACTAGAGTTTGTTTATGGCCACCGATGCTGAATGAAGAATGTGCTCAAAAAATCTGGTCACTCCATCATCTTGAAGAACTAAAACATGGACATAACCACTTTTGTCATACATTTATTTATACACATTATCCTTCACAAAGAACAGAGGGACAAACTTTTGTAAAGAAAAACAAAGATGAGTGACTTAACTTATTCAAACTAAAACACTGTCCTGGAATCCATAATTTCATAATAATAATAAATATATATTTATAATTCCTGATAGAATCTCTAATAAGAAATGGCTGGGTGGAATGTTCATATACTTCATATGCCCAGGGAATGTTGAAATGCCACCTCACATGCAGAGAAACCACAATCAAACACATGAACGTTACATTCCCAAATACTCTCAATGTGAGACACTTGTGTTTACCTGCATCCTGCAAGACAACCGCTTGAATACTGTCTTAATCACTTCATAAGAGGACCGGCTCTGTTTCCACTCGTATCATCAAGTATCCATTTAATTCTTGGGATGAAGAAATAAACACCTGGAATATCTACTTGTTTTTTTCTTCCACACACAGGGACTTCAAACATCCGGTCTATGAAATTTCCAAAATACATACTGAAAAATGATAGCTCCAAAAAAATGTGCTCATACTGATGAATCAGTGGTGAAATTCAACAATGGTGAACCTGATAACTACAGTATTCCTCCAAGTGCTT